TTATATTGAGTGATCTCTCATATACAGCGAAGTCTCCACCGGCCTCAGAGAATGCCAGTTAGGGAACCAACACCGCTGCATCTTTGTCATCTTAGTTAGTTTCCTCTGAGCCTAACTCAGGACTCTCTCTCCTCACCCTTTCCCTACTGCGAGGAGAGACATACGGAGTATCCCACTGTTCTGAACGTTTAATCTGGGCAAGGCAGGTGGGTAGGCAGGGCGTGTTTTTCCCATAACAAAGCACAGTGTTACCAAGGAATACTGTTGGAATACTGGCTGAGTTCCTAGGTCTTGGTATGGAATGGTACCTTAGTGCTAGCCTGACCTTGCCCTCACCCTCTCATTCCTCTACTGATAGGACTCAAAGTCAGAAAAATTATATACGTGGTCAAGGATATGCCCTGAGGTTGAACCAAGATAGTAAGAAGGACGTTCTTTCTGGTCATTTTGAGAGCTCTCTTCTCTCTCTCATATTTATGTGTGTGTGTGCGTGTGTTGCTTTTCATTGTGAAAATGTCAATAGGTGCTATGTAAAATGCACAAAAATATATTTAAAATTATCTCAGAAAACTTTTTACTTTGGGTTTTTAAAGTTATCAGTGAAATAAAGGCTAATGGGTTGCATTTCTTTTTTAAAAAAGTCACAGACTCTCAGGCAGCTAAGATATGTATTTATTGTCTGCACACCTGCACTTATGCACATGTTCTATGTGTTGCCAGGTGCATATTTTTGTGTATATGCACTTAGGCCTTAGGCCTTGCCCGTGAGTTCATACCTCACAATGGAGATCTTGCTTAGCTGACCTATACTTCAGCACTGCCTCTTTCTAGTGTGTGTCTTGAGTGAGTTACAATATTTTTCTGATCTCAATATTCTTGTATATAAAGTGCCATGTTCAGTCCTCCCATGAAACTGGAAGTCCAACCAAGGTTGAACTACCTATACCTGTAAAAATTTTGCTGCATGTATTTTAGAATCTTCAGTAAAAATTAGCTACTTCTTCTATAACCAGTTTTGGTGCCCAATTTTATAGGTGAACGCGTGCATTGTGTTAAGTAATACTACGGTGAGTTCATGAATTAGGCATGCTTTTCTCCCCTTTACACATGAGGGAACAAAGATGAGGGGGGAGGGATGCATGTGTGATAATCTGCTGAGTCACCCAGGGGGGTTTGCAAGGGGCAGAGTCACAAACCTCCATCTGTGTGCATGGCTGGCCTTGCTATGACTTCCCACACCCTTCCTTAGCCAGAGGCTGACGTGATGAATAGCAAGGTGGAGGCCGTGGAAATAAGGAGCATCCTAGTGGGCTTTACCCAGTTTATGTTTGCCCTGTATGCTGACATTCCTGCTTCCCTTATTTGACTGAGACTTGATTCTTAAGACCAACCTAAAAGTGTTTCTCTTGATGGGGGTGCAAAAAGAAGAAAGAAGAACGGATGTGTGTGTGTGGAATGGATCTCAAGTGGGATAGGCAGTAAGTGCTAGCTTCATTGAGAAGTACATGTGTGGACACATCCTAAAAGTACCTGGTGGGACTGGGCTTGCCTTGAAATGCTTTGTCAGGAATTCAAGCGCTGCACATGACTGCTTCTGGTATTCTACCCAGGAAGCAACAGAAGGAGAATTGCTGGAACATGACTGTTTAATCCCTTCCTAATCTTCGGAATCTCATGAGTCCTTCAGCTCTTCAAATACTCAACTGTCAGAACTTGGTGAGCAGATATATTATGGTCAGAGGAAGCCCAGAGACTGCGCTGTACAGTTCAGGCAGGTGGAGAACAACGTTATCAGCTAGTGACTTTGAGACGAGTTTTGATATTGTTAATAAGAAGGGAGAGACAGAAAGAGAGAGAGAAGCCAAATTCCATTTACAAAATTATTACTTTTGTTTCGCAAGACACATAGATTCAATTTTGCACAGAAAATTGCTTGGGAAGAAAAGACTCTCGGCAGAGCCCTTCATAGACAATTTAATATTTTTAATAAGGAAAATCTTTCTGATTCTCAACTATTTAGCCATGGAATCTTAAAAATCCAATGAAAGTCTGCCTTCAATAAATGCTGCTTTAAAAATTTTATTGTCTGTTTAACAACCTGAGAATATTAGCATTTCGTAGGCACTTAAATTCAGTTATAATTACAAACACAGCACTTTGAAAACTGTCTTTTGTGTAATTTAATGTAATTTAGTGCCGATAAACTATGCATGTATTTTTCAGATCTTCTTATCTCAAAATTGTAAATAAGGTCAATTAGCTCAGGAAAAGGCAAGTTTCTAAACATTGTCTGTCTCCAAGCAATCATTTAGAAACATACACATGAATAATATACATACACACATATGCACATATAAACACATAACGATTGGGAGATTCTCCATGTCACTAATTAACTATTTTTCAAAAGAACTGAAGGTGGGTGAGTTGTCACACTCATGCAATACACTTGGAAGGACGTAAAGCTTCAGGCTACAGGGTGAGTTCAAGGCTAGTGTGGGCAAGTTATTGAGACACTGCCTCACAATTAAAAAAAATTAAGGCTAGGGATATAACTCAATGTGTTGTAGAGAGCTTGCCTAGCATATCTAACACCCTGTGTGCAATCTTCAGTAATACACACACACGAGTGCTGGAATTAAGACTCATTATAGAATGATGACAGCACACTATCAGGAGAAGTGACAGGGCTAGCCTACCCATGACACGGGTGGCAGCAGCTTTCCTTACATTGAAACTGTCTCTTGAGACAGTCACTGGCACATGGTGGCCTTTTTCAGCAGACCACAGCTAAGATCAGGGCTGGTGAAATGGGTCAGTGGTAGAGGGCTGAGCAGGGAGGTGTGAGGATGGGAGTTCAATACACAGCACCCGTATCAAAAGCTGGGAAAGGTGCTGTGTGCTTGTAATATCGGCACCAGGGAGACAGAGACAGATGCATCCCAGGGGCTTGCTAGTCAGACAGTCTAGCTGAATCAGTGAGCTCCAGGACCAATGAGAGATCTTGCTTCAAAAAATAAGGTACAGAGGGATTAAGAAAGACATTGGAAGACATGGGCTGTTGGCCTTCAAATGTGCACACATATATACACACATCTATACACACACACACACACACACACACACACACACACACACACACACACACCCTTCTAAAGTCGAGCCGTTTCTCTGAACTATGTAGATTCTTCCATCTATACAGTAAGGACAACAACTGAATGTGCTACATGGAATTGGAAAGGATTTCTTCAGTGTCTACAACTGTAATTCCAGCACTCTTAATGAAGGAAGTATCAACATCTGGATGCTTGTTTCTCTTCATACATAAGCATCAAATACATGGCTTTGGCCTTGTCCAAAATGCTCCCCTTGTGGCATAATCCTCCTCACATTTTGACACTGCACTGTGTCATTAGCTTAAAGCAGTCTTGAAGTAATTGGCACACTAAATATCTAAGAACACGAAGCCACTCTTTTGCTAGGAAAGCAAATCTGCCCTTAAATGGTCTACTTATGGAATTATGGGGGTCACCTGCACACTCCCTGTCTCCCTCCACACTCCCATTGTTCTCTAGCCAAAGCTTGTGATCAGACACCCGTGAACTATGTGCCTTACTTGCCCTCTCCAACACTAGAAAAGTAAGTTCCTATACTAGAATTTTAGCAGTAGTATATGTCTATTCCATTTGCCCCTATAAGAGCATTGACAGACACAGACAGACCAAGGACTGGTAACCAGCACACAGCCATTACACAAATGCTTATATATCTAAAGGGGACCCAGAATCTTCTGGACAAGCTTCAACATACTGTTATGTTGTCTTTCATGTTGCAATCTGCATACTTCAAAGCTCTGTAACAATTCGGTCATTCTTGACACTTCCTACTACTTTGTCAGTGTTAGTATCTGCTCAGTTCTTCTGGGCAGAGGCAAGTATGCTCCTGCCTCAGGTACTAATCTTGGATTTCTAGAAAAACATATGCCACCCAAGGGGTGTTTCTCTCTCCTTCTACTACTGCTGACATGAAAGATTTAAATCCACTCTCCCAATAGTATTCTACTGTTTAGTGCTCATACATTCCCATTGTATACTTGACTGCAAGAAACCACAGCATGGTGACAGCCAGCACTAATAATAAACAGCTACACTTTTTTTTTAAAAAAAAAACCACTCTCTGTTCCCACAGCAGAAGGGAGATCCATCCAAGCGTTCTGTGGCAGTTGGAAAGAGTAGGCTGTGACAGAAGCTACGGCCTATCTGCTGGTGATGATGCTGTTGCCATATTTTACAGCTTGGGAATCACCCGCTGCTTCGAAACCCCTAGATCTGTTGACTGGCTGCAGTGAGATAAGCCTATGGGGACTTGTGGGAAAGAACTAGGGTATGTGGAGGAAAAGAGCTGAAAAAGGAGACAAAAATGCAAGCCAGTGTTGCTCTGATGAACGTCAGTGATTCCCTCTGTGTCTGTACACTGCGAGAGTGGACAAGGGTTGGAAGCATAGGAAAGGTGGCACACTTTCTTTATTTCTTATCCTCAGGTCCATTTTGCACGATATTCCTAAAGAAAACCACGTACTTTGCTTGTAGAGGAAGAATCACAACATGCTTCAGTGTGCACCTCAGAGCCAGTGCAAACACTTGGGATGCTCAATGCCTTGGGGGTGGATGCAAAATGATGCAAACAGTGACACAAAGGTCTCAATGTCTTCCTTTTCTTCCCATGAACTTGCTCCTTTTTTGACCTCCCCTTGGCCAATGTGTGCTGCTTTCAGGGATCCAGACAAAGTCCCCATGATTGGTTAAACAGCAAACTCAGGCACAAATGGGTTGAAATTCATCCTGTTTATCCTCCAAGGGAACGATAAATGGTTACAGGTAACGGATATTCTAACTTCTCTTAATTTTGCCACTTGTGGTGTTTTGCCAGTGGCAGAACGGGAAAACGTAGTCGAGACTGGCCATTCCACCTCCTCACAGGGTACAGAGGGAGGTACTCACCAGCGCTGACAGTGATCGCCTCGATGAACTGCTCCCTCCAGCTGTTTGTCCCCACCACGAGGGCCAGGTTCGTCTTCTTAATGAGTTTGTCCACAGTGCTCTAGAAAGGGGCAAAGGGAAACGACAATAACTTCTGGCGTTCTGAAGGCCTTAGGAAATCTAAAACCTTGTTTGGAAACCTCAGGGTTATTAGAAAGGGGTAGCAGGTGCCAGTCTCAGAAGAAATATATCCGTATCAAACAAACACTGTTCCGATTATGCAAACGCTCGTGGTCTTTGGAAACACTCTGAAATGGAAACTTCTGCCCAGAGAAGTCTAGCCTCCTTTACAGCCTAGTGACCAATCAGGAGCGGCTCCAGCGTTTCCAACAGTAGCTGTTTGAAAGGTCACCTGCACCCCTCAACAGCGAGGCCAACTTGATTCCCTGTGGGTTTTCTGTCGCAGGCTGTCTGCGAGTGAATCAATATTGGCCCTGTCCAGTATTTAGTGTCTGTGACCGCCTGAAAGTGACAGATCTGAAATGGAAGACATCTTGCTGTATTTTTGTTACAAAATGAAGCCAGGTAGCAGGGTTTAAGGTTGCTTGTTGTATGATCAACAACAAATAGATGATTTGGTGGTGGGGGCGGTGCAGAGAGGTCACTGGAGTTTTCAGCTGGCTAATATCCAGGCAGCTCTATTCTCGCTCAGCTGCTGTTACATCAGGAGCACGTTAGACAAGCGAGAGTCAACACCTGTGGCTAAGGGCACGCTGCTAATAACCTTGCACCACATTTCCATACTTTAATAGTACTGAGGTGCCTGCCCTTTCTTTTACTTTAGAACTTATTAGGCAATTAGTGTCTGTGCAATGAGCACTCTCCAACTTTCTAAATTTGGTTAACAAAACAACGGGACTTGCCAAGCGCTCACAAGGAAACTAAGTAAGCCATACAGTCAAAGCGCTACCACAAATCATGGCAACTACAGGGAAAAGGGACATTTCCAGGGCAACGAGGCTACACCTCCCAGGGAAACTACTGCACCAACTAGTCTACCAAACCCCCACACTTACTGTCAGAGCATCCTCGAATTTCCACTAATCGCAAAGAGGCAGAAAACACATATTATTTGCCTTAGGTAGTGACTTATTCGTGTTCAACGCAGGATACCGAACTATGAGGGAGCTGACAATATTGGCTGAGCATGTTAGTTCTACACGCGTCATTGGAACTGATTTGCAGCACTGAGAGGAAATGACACATGGAAGGACCCTTCTCCAACTAGCTGTCTGCACCCTCAATGTTATTTGTGGCCAGCTAGTATGTCCTTGGGTTGGGGAGGGGGCTGACCTCTCAGTTTCTTGCCTGGTATCCAGAACTGCTAGTGCCCCTGATAAGTGTTTGAATCATTGCTCTTGGGAACGATAAATTGAAACACATGGCAGGCATCTGTCTTTTCTCTCTCAACTCAGGCACATCTCACCCAGTACGCTAAGCATCGTGGCTAATGCCAATTCAAAGGGCTGTGTGGAATGTAAGAAGAAATAAGGTCAGTTTTTCTCCTACATGCAGTGGAAACTTGGAGCCTGTCTCTCTAAGGGGGAGAGAACACACTGTGCTGTAGCCAGGTCCGAGAACCCCCTCATCTGAGAGATAGGCAGGTGAGCATTGCTCCAGCAGAGGAACACAGACTCCCCATAAAACCAACTGCTAAGACCAAACTTTTAAGGGGAACTAAACTTAACCTTCATTGATGTGAAAAACCCCAAGTATATATTAAAATGTAGTAAACATTAAACAGAGAGGCAGAGGCAAAACTTTTCCAAGCGCTGTGCAGTTCGGTTCCTTCATCTATGTGAGGAAGGAGAGTAAATCCAGACAGATTAAAGTTCAGACATTACTCTCTATTCGCCTGAAGAGTGACACTCGACAGTGGGCATTAGTAAAGCCACTGCCTTAGCATGGTGGGTGAGAAGGTGGAGGCGGGCACATGCCGTCCAGCTCATGCTTTTCTGGAGCTCTGGACAAGTTCTCAAGTTCCATTCTAGAAAAACACAATTCCTAAGCGAAGAAAGCCAAAGGTGACGTTACTGCCCTAGAAAAAAATGTGCCCCCAAGATGCCCTTTAGGTGTTAAAGTTAATGATGACTGTGCTTGTGAGCCTGAGATAGAAGTCAAAGTTATTCTAAAGAATTAAAAAAAATTCAGTAAAGTGAACTTATATAAAGAAGCTGCAGTACTTTCTAAAGAATCTATTAGCATTGCTCTTTCCATGGCTCTTTCCTCTAGGACAGAGAGCACACAATGTGTATAAAAAGTGCGGGAGTGACTTAGTTCCAGAAACAGCAGTCTCCACTGTGACAGGTGACACTGAACCCCTTGATTCCCATCTGGAAAAGCTGTGGGAGGAAGAGCAAAGCTGGACACAAGTGGACACTGAGTAACGGAGTGGAGATTCGCGGAGATCACATGAGCATAGGATGCTCCCTCCGTGTGCTCAGAGATCACATGAGCATACACGTGCTCCCTCCATGTGCTCAGAGATCATATGAGCAAACGCATGCTCTTTCCATGTGCTCCCGAGCCAGGCTCATGGCTATGCCATGCTGGGCTTGGCAGTGGGCTCAGTCCTGAAGTCTTCATTCCACTGTTGACTCCAAGAGACAGATAGATTCTCAGTGGCCAGAAGAAGGTTCTAAAAAATTCCATTTTAATTGCAAAGACACCTTCTCTCTTACTACCTATCAGGCAATTCAATCTGAGGATTACATTTAATGAACCAACAAAGAGGTAATTTGTACTAAAGATCCACATAGGACTCCGAGACTTCTATATTAGCCTGGTTCTCTATTTTTTTCTTTGATTGCTTGAATAGGCACCATTTCCTTTTGAAAAACAAGTAAGGAAAATATTGTCCTGTTCTGGGTCTGTAATTCTGGATGTTATAAGAAGAGATATACAGCCTCTTATCCCATTGTACAACCGAAGTTGGCTGCACCTCAAGTTTTCTTAGATATTAAGGATCTGGTTAAGAAAAGCTATGTGTGGGGAATGGGGTGGATTGAGGTGAAGCAGTGGGTTAGGAGGGACAGACAGGTTTCATCCTCAAATCTGAAGCTCATCTCCATATATTTAACTTTTAAAAGAATGACTTCCATGACCTGGGGAATTTTAAATCTTGACTGAGGATGTAGCTCATTAGTATAGTGCTTGCCTGACATACTGGAATCCCTGGGTTCAATATAGAGGGTCACTCCAAAAAGAGAAAGAGAGAGAAAGAGAAGGGAGGGAGGGAGAGAGGGAGGGAGGAAGAGAGGATGAGAGGGAAGAAGGGAGAGAATTATAGAATCCAGTCTCATCAGCTCACGAATAAACTGTATAGTTGCAGACACTGCTTCTCTGGTAGGCAGTGCTAAAGAGCGTTCTCAGGTCAGAATAGCTTAGCTATAAATGACCATTCTCCAAAACCAAAGCCTTTGAATTTCCACACCACAAATCCTGAGAGATTCATCAGACTTTTTCTAATGAGAATCTCTAAATTTTTTTGTCTCCTTTCAGACAAAGCCCTCCTTTCAAGGGATGGTTCTGACTTCGTCACAGTGCATGTCACCTGCTGGACTGTGGCTATGGTGCTGTTTTCTGTATAGAATTTCTTGGTTCTCTGCTAACTCCACATTTTCAAATTGGATCTGACAGCCTTTTAGTGAATGAGCCTGTACGTGAAATCACATTTCCCAGTGGCCCCGGAAGGCTCTTAGAGCACAGACCATGCCGAACCACCTTGACCCAGCTGATGGGGCTGGCAGTGTTAACAGGCTTACCTTGAATTCGTAAGACTCTTCGATGATCACCTCCAGCTTGGTGTGCTCTCCCAGGATGGGGCGCCCCATTTCTGCAATGCGCCTCTCCTCTTCCTCTTTGCTAGTCAGTGGCTGCTTGTCATCATACTCGTCTGGGAAAGGGAAGGCAAGAGTATGAACAACGCGCTCCTTCAGGTTTGCAAGTCCCAGGATCCTGCTATAAGAAAAGCAGGGAGGAAGGGTGCCCTAAGGATCAACTAAAAGTCTCTTGGATGAGATAGCGAGGGTGGTGAGGGACAAAGGGGCTTGGTTGATGGGGCAGCGCCACACTGAAGCAGCAGAGGATTGAAATATAGTTCAGTCTCATCTCATGTGAAAGCACGGACAGGGAAAAGTCATGTTCAGGGCATGTCACTGAGAAGGACCCTGCTGCAAATTGTTTGTGCTGAGGGAATCACCCAGCTGTTTTCTGTGAAGCTGGCCAGTTTGGCGTTCTGCACACATTTTTTTTCCAACACGTGACTAAAGGGAAACACAATTAAAAAGTTTTAAAGTAACCCTGAGGGAAGTGAGAGTTTGATCTTTTCCTTTCCTCTTTCTACACGCATTAGAAAATGCCTCAGGGCCAGAGAGAAGCAGGAAGGATATTCTAATCTCCTTAGCTTCACGCTTGTCAAGAGACCCTGTCACAGGTTCAGCTCTGAAACACCCATTTTACATTTCCTTGCGATGGCTGGGCCCCAGTGCGTCCTCTGGGGTGCAAAGGTGAAATGTATTAGGAAAGCTCTGACCATGTTAATCTTAAAGCAAACAGAGAGGGCGAGGGTGAGGCCTTCGGGGAGCTAATATTCACTCTGTGGGAATGATTATTTCCAGAACCACCAAGTAAGCTCGCGTTCTAGGAGAGGCAGGGGGTGGAGGGTTCTCAGGAAAGAGTCTGTTGATGAGGAGGAGCTCACAGTTGTCTCTCTCTGCATGGTGGTCATTGGGATAGATCCCAGACTAACAAGGCCAAGCATATGTGAGGGCAAACACTTGTAAGCACCCTTGACCTTCAGGTCCAGGATGCGGGGAAATGATAGGCTACTTCCTCAGAGTCAAGTGAAGCACTCATATCCAGGGAGGCAGAGGCGTTGCTAAGGAAAAACCTCCACTCTGAGGCTCTCGCCTCCAGGATATCTGGGCAATTGCCTGTGAGTGGATTCTGTTGTCTGAGTCATCCAGACTGGGAAGGGCTGACCTTTGTGTTCAGGCTTCCTGACCTGCCTTTTGCATTTAGACATCAGTGTTAGCAGGGGTTCATACCTTCTATTTCCTGCAAAGAGACACAGCTTCCACTCTGCTCTGGGACTCTGTGGCCATAGTTGGTTCTATTTATTGATCTAGCAAGGGATGATTTTTGGCTAGCAGTCTACTGTGAGGACTGGGGTTGGGGGATAGAAGGGCTGGAAGTATAGCTAGCACCTTCGATTTCATGTGTCAGAAGGAATGGATGGCAGAAGCAGAATGCAGCTGCTAACCCATTCTTTAGCATGCACTTAGTAATGTATTCTAAAATAATGCATTTAAAACCCCTAGTGGTCTTTTAATCCCACCAAATCAAAGGAAAACGAAAATGAGTTTGTTGAGAAGCTGTTGAATACGAGCAAAGGCAAAGCAGATAGAAAAGGAGATTAACTTTAACTGTAAGAGTGGCAAGGGATTTTAGACAAGGATTGGGAAACTATAAATCAAGGAGCGGCAAGGGGTAGAATCTTCAAGACTGTCTTCTGAAATCCTGTGTTTTTCAGTTAAGAGGTTGGTGGACATGTGTGAAGTCAATTTACCTAGTGTTCAAATCAATCATAGCTTGGTTCTTCACTGCTTTCTGATCATTGGGTCAATGACAATGTCACTGGCTTTTCAGGTTGATTTTGTTTTAGCCTTTGTCCAACTCTCTGACATACCCTGAATAATAATGACTTCCCCCAAGAGAAATATTGCCACTTAGATACCTATTTGAAGTGCAAAGCTCTGTGTGAGAGAATATTTACTGTGACCATCACTTCTGTGATGTACTTACAAACAATAAGTTGTTTTGAACGGGGCTCAAAGTAATTTAGGTAGGAAACATATAGCGGTTAGGGAGGAAATATCATGTACTGGGATTGTTCATGGAAACATCTCACAGAATGAAGCAGATCCAGAAAATGGTGAAAAATAACATGGGCACAGCAGTAAATGAAATTGAATCCATCCTATGAATGAAAAGGTGCCCCCCCCAAATCCTTTAGTCTCTCTGGTCAGCAACATGGTTTGACGCTCCCAGATCTATAACTGCTTCCTAACATCTGGCTTTCTTTCATTTAAAATAAAGTAGTTTATAGGTGCAGAATGCTTGACTAGACAGAATTTAATGACATTCTTTTCATTGTAAAATTAGCTTATTTTCCACTTATGACAAAAATCTTACTATATTTTTTAATTAAGTAAAAGACAAGGTAATTTTAAAAAGATCACAGTATGTGCATTACAATTTGGTTAGTATTTAACCTTCACAAAAATCTCATAAGAAGCTGAAATGTGGACATTTTGTCTGAACAGGTTTGATCATCACATAAAGAAACGGTAGGGAGCTTGTTTCTTCATCTTGCTATGCTCTTTCTGCAAAGCATGGGCTTACCCAACATGCAATTACCAAGAAATGCTCCTACACCTTCATTTACTTATATTTAGGGCCCTTCTTCCATTAGTATACCAACTGACAACTGGGATTTAGTAAATATCATTCAATTCTTTAATATTTACTGTGTGTTAAAAGGTTTCATGTGGCTTCGGGATTACTTGAAATTATCTTTGCATACACATACTTAGTCTGTAGGCTTGCGGAGCTAGGGTATGCCTCAGCACTCTTTATTCTGTCTTTGCTCATGTCTAGTACAACGTATGGAATGCTGAAAAATTACTCAAGTATTCGTCATGAGATTCTTCAAGTTACCATTAGTAATATTTTTTATGTTCATTTTTTTAAATAAAAGATCATCCATTACTTAAACACATGTTATTGTCTCCTTAGAATATATCACCCCAGACACAGTCCTCCTCTTTCTTCAGCTATCTTCTGGAAACTTCTGGTTTAGTGGGAAATGAGGCATTTGAATGAAGAACCAGAATCAGTGTGGCAGGGACTGAGCGACCAGTGTGGGAAAGATTTTTCTGCCTATAGAAGTCATGGAAAGAATCAGGACAGAGGATTAATTTGAAGCTATCTTTGAAGCATGTAGAGAACTTTCCAGGTGAATATGACGGCAAGAATGACTAGGAGGTGTAGAGATGAGTGGTCATAGTTCGGACATGGACACAGCATCATGAGCATCATGGAAAGGTCAGGGCTATTTTCATCTGATGAGTATTATGTCCATCTACAAGATGGTTACAGTTGTGTACGTGAGAGGTGGCAAGTGGAGAAATCTTACGGCTGATCTACAACAGTACTGATATATTAGCAGTTAGAATGATGTAGAGTTGGGTTTTTATCCTCTTATTTTTTAATTTTTTGAGACAGGGTTTCTTTGTAGCTTTGGCCTATTCTGGAACTCACTCTGTAGACCAGGCTGGCCTCGAAATCACAGAGATCTGCCTGCCTCTGCCTCCCAAATGCTGGGATAAAAGGCGTGCGCCACCATCACCCAGTCCTTGTAGAGTTTTTATGGTGACAAGGAAAAGAGCTTAACCCTTTTCCTCCCTAGTGTTCTCCTTAGGTGTGGCTTTATTAAATAGGGAAACGGTTAACACCTTTTTTCAGCATCAATTACTATATTTGTTTCTTTTTCTCTTTGGACAAATGGATCAAAACAGATCACTTTTTTGGGGCCTAGGTCACTTTATCTCCTTACCTATATAGAGTAACAACACAATGAACTTTGAGTTCCATTTCTTAGAGCAAATTAATTCTCTGTGTGTAGCTCTTGGTCTCTTTGTCGCTCTTGATGCACATATGTATACTGGTAAAGCTCACCAGTTGTTGACCCTGTGCATTATCAGCAACCATGGCTACAGCTAGTGTTGCATGGACACAGAGGTCCCTGGGATAAAATCACCAGGGTGGGGTCATTGTTGTTGTTGGTTTGTTTATTTTTACAGTGATTGATGTCTATAAACAACAACAACAAAATTGTTAGCTTTAGGTATGTGAGTTCTTGAAACGGATGAATTTTGTAAAACTGCTTCTAATGCTTCCTGGTTGAAACTGGACCTTGAAGCAGCATCGTAGTGATAAAGTGGGGGGAGGGAGGATATCCCTTTTAGAGGGCACTCTCATCCACATGGCCAGTTCAGTGCAGAGGTCCATACCCAAAAGGCCAATGTCATAGTTGTCTTTTTGTTGTTACTTTGTTTTAGTACCAATAAACAATATAGGACTTAGAAAGTGGGGGAAAGGCTGGTGATGGGAAAACCTTCTCAGGATTATTTTGATACTTTGTTCAGAACTGTATGCAGAAGCCTGAAAACAGGCCACCTGACAATGTTTCAGCCCCAGCTGGCCTCTCTGATTAGAACCCAGGAAGATTTCTATTTTTAGTCCCTTGAGGAAAATTGGTAGTGGGAGCTGTGAACTGTGATTGTTGGGTGGAGGTATGGTTTGCGAGGGTAGGGGGGCCCCTCAGGGTCAGGCAGAGGTGCCTCCACCACTGAGGTTAGTGATGGGCAGCAGTGATGACTGAAGGAGGAGGTACTGTTGTCCTCGGCTACAGACTCCTCACTAGGACCTCAACAGGACCAGGAGGGCTGTGTGATCCTTGGGTGGCCCTGCCGGCATTCCTTTGTTTCTTTCTACACCAGAAAAGGCACAATTCTGGTGGGAAACACACTGGTTTTGGTGGTGCTTTTTTTTTTAAGAATTTTCATTACACTTACATACAAAACTTACATGTAAAAGAGATATTTGCAGGAAATTTGAAACATATTGAAATCTGAGAGAAAGAAGGCATTGGATCAACCTCTCTGGAGGTCCATATTATCTCTCCATACTGCCCTTGATTTTTTGATCACTCACGGTATCCCAGCTGTCAGAGGAGTCACTCATCAATCGGCATTGTTTCAGAAGACCCAGGGACTGACACCTATGAGTCTAATAAAGCATATACCTGAAGGCTGTGGCTCTCAAGGGCCACAGTAAAACGAGTACCTGAAATGCTGATTACAGTGGAGGGAAGCAGATGGTCTCTAGCATGAACCTTCCTGAAGACAGGCTGGCCTAGCAAAAGGACAGGCAGAAAATCAGCAGGATGGATTACATTGCTTAGCTCTCAGTGCCTTTTGAAATTAGTAAGCAAAACCAGCACCTAGACGCACACTGCAAGCCATGTTAGTGTGGCTGGTTATAGGTCACCCTCTGTAGACCACAAGGAGGAGTTATGGTGGTTACCAATAGAGATTGCCACCCACAAATGGGAGGTAAATTATCCATAAGACAAACCCAATCATGCTTGATTAAGTTTGATGGATGAGATAGCGAATCTCTTTCCTTGGGGTAAGAGCAAGTGTTTGAAATGGATGAGCCAGGTCCTTCAATAACTGATTCCAGAGGCATCATAAAACAACAGAAAGCACTTGGCGCAATGACTTGTGTTCGAATTTTTGAAGCCGATTGGTGCCATCTGTATAGCAGGCTATCTTTTCTATTTTCCCACACATAAATGCAGGTAGTATCTACTCCATTTATGTCACACGTTTCTTTGAAGGTCAGGGAATATAGAACCCTTATGAAGGTGCTCACTGCATCCATTTCCTGTGCAGACTGGAAAGCGTCATATATGTTTCCACAGAAGAAGGACGAGTCACTCTCCCCCAGCAGATCCATTAACGGGGCCTCAGAGTTTCACTGTACTTCTTGTCCAGGTGGTGACAAGGTCCCCCTGCTGTCCTCATCTACAAAGAGCTACTGAGAATGAAACTGAGGCTCTCGAGACTTGGACTCAGGGCCAGCCCTGCCAGTTTTTTTCTATTGAAATATGGGCAAGGAATTTTGCCTCTTGGAGACGCAGCTTTCTCGGTTGTAAAATGAGGCAACTTTGATGGCGGGGCTTTGCTCCTCTAACCCACACGTTGGAGTGGTGGAAGTGTTTTCAAGTGCCAGCAGTCTCAAAGTTTGGCCCATTTAAATAAACATGCTCCTTAAGTATCTTACAAGACCACAGAATGATCAGAAGAGCAATATTAAGGGCATATATTGAATGCCATAAAATTTTAGGGAGCGCTATATCTGCATGTCTTAGAAGTTTTAGGGGAATCAAATATACCTCTCCAGATTTAGTCAGGATACTGAATTTTATTTGAAGTTATCTCTACCTATGTAATCTATTTTTTCCTTTGGGTGCATTTTCCTTTACGCATCCTTTGACTGCCATTCATAATGATGGCTCTTTATAAGATACAGTTGTATAGACTGACAAAGGGCCCAGTGTATAATGTACAGATGAAGGGACAAAGATATGGTTCGTACTATAGGACCAGCCAAATGACAGGGCTAGTGGTGGGATAATCACAAAGGGCCTTTCACTCAGAGCCGAAAAGGTGGCTGGCAGCATCTCGGTTGAGTGGTTTGGGGTAGGTTAATCTTTTTGAGCCTTTCTTTTTCTTCCTGTAAGGGTGCATAATAAAGTCTAACAGAATGGGGATAAAATAATATTCATTATAAACTCTAATGAGTTATAATGTCATCATAAAACTGTAAGTCAGAGGGGTATGAGTTCATAGGTTTAAACACAGGTCATTTGGTAAGACAAGGGCTAGAGCAGCAGGTGGAGATTTGTAAATTTCAAAGGCACCTCCAGCATTCAATGTCTATTACTAACAAGGTCTCAAATATTGGTGTGAGGCTGTGGATCAAATGGATTCTTTTCTTTTTTTAGATTCCATGTATACTATTTCTAAATTCCACATCTGTACTCATCCATGCAAGTTCATGTAAAACCTGCAGGCTAAGTCCAAAGGCTACATTAATTCTTCTCTTCCTCCTTGTACCTCAAAGCCTTGACATCAAAGTTTCAATGTGACTTCAAAGAGAACTCTTTAGACCTTGTTGCCGCTGCTCACTGTGCAGACTTAAGTTGCAGAAATTTCTTAGAGGCATCAGTAGCAACTTAACTCTGGTATTTCTGGTTTTATAGGAGAAAGGGAATATGAAATTAGACAGTATCCAGATAAATAACAATTAGGCCAATGTAGAAATTTCTAGAGGGTTCTGGAATAATCCTTCTATTCTAACTGCATTGACTTATGTATTGGGAGATGTCAACAATGAAAGGACTTGTTAGTTTGGTTAAAGTTCCAGCCATAGGGAAGACCCAGGAAACTACTCATATTGTAGAAGCTTTCAGAGAAAGAGATTGTATCATGTTGAATGCAGGATACAGCCAAGGCAGGAAAAGCTGATATGAGGGAATGAGGATCCTACTGACTGAGATACTGAAAGGGAGGATGGTTCAAGTGGCATGAAAAGAAAGCCTTAGAAATGAAATCCTCACATGTATAATGCAAGATGGCCAAAGACATACATGCACTCTGGACTGATACTGCGTAATGTCTCACCAGGTTGCATAGAGTGTAAGGAACAGCTACCTGATGTGTTATTTCTAGAGACTATGGTTTACTTTAGAAAGATAATCCACAGCGCCATGAAGGTAGGCATGTCAAATTTCTACCATTTTCAACTCTCTCAAGGGAAGCTGTTCATCCTGGCATATATATATATATGTATATATATATATGTATATGTATATGTTTATGTATATATATATGTACTTGGATGCATGGACAAGTCCTGAAGGGCCGAATCTGGAAAATCTGACTTGGGAGAGGCTCGGTTGAGTCGGATTCAGGGATTTTTACAAGGATACTACCCTGTTTAACATTTTAAGTATTTCTAATTTCTGTGTCTCTGAGAGTCTAAAAGTCATTCTGTCATTTACTGGTGTCTAGAGATGAGTAAGGGACAGTCATCCATACAGAATTGCCATGCATAGAAAGTTCCGCTCAGGGCAGAATCACCCTGGCACTCAGTGTCCATGACTTAATACTAACAGAGGTTAATATCAAACCCCCAAGCCTACTGCAGTGTCTTCATTACTAGAAATTTTGGAAATATTTCCTTCAAAATATTTTTCTAGTTCTCTGATTTACTATTTGTGCAATACATTGGAAAATGTTGGTGTTTGCCTCACACCTCACATATTGCAAAAGGCCATCTAAGAAATGGGTCGCTAGGGACAATTTCAACCTGCAGCTTCGGACAAGTTTGAGCCATTACTGGGTAGTCACCTTCTCCTCTAACTCTGCAGAAACGCTCCTGAAAAGGTGAGAAGGTATGCAGGACCGAAAGATGCTGCACTTAGGAATGATTTCCACCTGTGCACAAGGAACTAGCTTTGGAGATGGCAGAATTTTGAAATTAAAGATTTCAAGCTTTCTCATTGGGATCTTGAATGCTTATGTATGGCTTTCTAAGGCACCTCAAATAGCAGAGAGAGTTCTTGTTACCATGCTATTAGTACTAAGCAAAGTGACCAAAGAAGGGCTTGGATTGCTATCCTCTTCTGATGTGGCATTATCTACTTTTAGGACCCTGTTGATCCTGGGCCATGAACTTTGTGTGGTTGTCATATCCACCACTGGGAACCAGCAATCCTGCCTTTCTTATTCTGGTACACTGTGCAGCATCTATCAGAGTATATGGCAAATTCTTGGTGCTAAGAGGGTACCTGTAGATTAGTACCAAAATATGAACAGTTAGAGGCTGTCCCTGTGAGTTTTCTTACAGATAAATATGACACACACACACACACACACACACACACACACACATACACACACACAGGCTGTCGTTAATGTGTAAAATCAACAAAAAGATAGTAAGGGGCACACTTAAATATTAATTCAGGTTATGTTTGGTTTGGTGTTTAGGCTATATGGGCAAAAGTAAGAACTTTTAAAAGGCATTATCTTACCATACAGGTATTTTCCTTAATTAAAAAAAAACAAGAAAGTAAATTTTAAAATAAATACAATATGTTGACATTGACAGCAAAACTACAATTAGGTGGTAGTAGACTTGAAAAAATTCATACCTGTTAATGTGAAGCCACCTAAAAAAGAAAAAAAGAAAAGAAATGTCATAATTTAATTTACATTACAAATAACAAGTACTAGTGACATCAAGATGTTTGATAACCCACTCAACTTATGAAAACCTGCCAGATTTATAATTAAAAAGAATATTATAAGTTCAGTCATAACTGAACACATTCTCTCAACATTATGCAATTTAGTGCATAATTGTAGTTCTTGTTAATACCCGAGAAATCACTGGTCCTCTAAAATGTTTATATACACTAAATTAAAAATGTGATATGAATAGTTTGGCTTCAACTAAAATGAGGCCAACATTCTTAAACAAAAATCTGGCCAGTCCACAGACAGAGATAATAATCCAGAGTTACGGTATCATCTCAGAGAAGTGGAAAACAACCTATAAAAATGGAAAGGAAATGCAAGAAATGAAATGCTTACCAAGCTCACTCAACAACAGGGCTGTGAAGGAAACAGACAGAGACAAACACAGAATAAGAGACCAAATGAATAATGAAAGAGGAATATAAGCAGAAAGAAATCCAGGCAGTTTTTGCTAGAGTGGGGGGAAACATTCCTTAAAAAAAATGTGTGCACCCCTAGGGAATGCAATGTTGGGGACATTTCAGAATAAATGATCCCAATAGGAATATTTCTCTGTGATTGAAAAAAAAATCACCTTATATTTTTATTATATGTAACTCATAAGATATTTCTCCCACAGTTGTTGGCAAACAGTGCAAACAAAATCTAGTGTGAATATTGGAGACAATAATCTTTAACTCGGTTTGGGTTGGGCTTCTCCCAATAAATACTGTCTGAGGGCAAATATATAAAATGTTTGGAAGTTGTTAGTGACTAAAGACTTCAACTTCCTCTCAACAGGTAAAAGTCCCCAGAAAAATCCATCAGATTGCCCTCCTGGAAGATTTTGGCCTGGGTAAAGATCTCTCTGCATATTTTACTTGGAAGATATTTTGTTGCCTCCCAAATTGGGTACACTCTTTAAATTCTCAAGTCCTGAGAAGCCCTAAATAGACACTTATTTGTGTGCCTTTGTCGGTAACTTGTGCACGCTATTAAGCTGACCTGAACGCTTTCTACTGGACATATAACTCCAGAGGAATGGACAGGGTGAGGAATGTGAGCCAAACTATAATGTAGCTGTTACGATTATATATTCTTTAAGTACAACTGGGACGATAGCACTTCATTTTAGTAAAAGTTAACCTGCTTAGCAAGTCAAATTAAAGACTTCCAGGATGGTCTACAGGAATATTACAAGTGCTTGTTTTCAGTCCACTTTTCCCTGCATATTGGTAGTGGATTCAGAAGGAGCCTAGGCAAACGATGTCAGTAAGCTTATTCATACTGAGAAAAATTCATTTGGCCGCTATAAAACAGGACAGCACCATCAAGGAATTTTAATTTGCTTCTATACGAGGGCATATTTTACTAAAATGACAATCAAAAGAGCTGAATCCAAGACACTCCTCCTTGAGATAAAAGACAGCTCTTTGGAGGAACACATTCAGAACTAAGTACTTCTTCCCAGATGCTAACAAGGCATCTTTGATCCTTTCTGAGGAAGACATGGTTGTTTTGAAGTCTCTTTTCTTTCTGTTTACTGACTATGGGACTTATTAAAAGAGTTGCATTAAAATGACTCCCAAGCGATCCTTTTTCCATCACTTCGGTTGCCATTTTGTGCTTAAGTCAAACACGTTAGAAAAAGAACTTTTATTTCTCAGATGGACTCTGAGGTCAGTAAGTTCTTGGAATGTGAGATTGTATTTCTGCAAATGACAAGCCTACATAGGAATTGGGCATATAGACTGCATTTCTTCCCCTACATTTAAAAAATTAAATGAAATTCTCTTTTTCCATTTGAAACTTAATCTATTATAAAGTAGTTAGGATCAGAATTAGCTTCTCTTTGTAAATGTTTCCAAAACTGTGAGAACCGACAAAACCTAATTATGAAATTCTCAAAAAAATAACAGAAATGTTTTAAAAATCTACTTATAAGAATATCACTGTTCAATTTTTTCTTGTTACTATTCATATTATAATTGTATTAATTCTGTAAGTATCAAAATATTTTAGAGTATGGGTAGGATTAGTGTAAGTCAGGGTGAAGTGTTTACAAAACTGATCTCATACATATGACTGTGGTTTCATATGCATGTTCCTTTATTTGTTAGAGTTTATTATTATTATCATTATTATTGCCATTGAGAGATGATATTGCTATGTAGTTCAGGCTGCCCTTGAACTTTCCACCTCTCCTCTTTGATTTCCCAAGCACTTGAATCACAGGTATGTGCCATCATTTCTAACTTTATGGCCAAGTGCTGTATTTAATGATACAGAAGATATCAAAATAAGTGCATTAGCATATTGACAGGATGAGTCTTAAGGCTCCTTGTTCTTATTAATTGCTTTCTTAAAATGTGGAGCTGGAAGATTGGCACACACTTCTCAGTACTTTGGAGGTTGAGGCAGGAGGATCAGGAGCTCTAGGCCATCCTCAGCTACATGAGACCTTATCTCAAAAGTGAAAAGACAAAAAGAAAAAAAAAAGCCCTCCCCGAACCAGATTTTTTAAGAAGCCCGATGACTGAATTTTCTGTAATTACTTATAAGCTGCTATTTAGATTCATGCAGCCTTTATCTGCTGTGAACACTCAGGTAGGCTTGCTTTTCCTCCTACTGTAACTGACAAGGTATGCCAGGCTTTATTGCTAGCACTTGAAGGCTAAGTGGACCTTCGTAGCTGCGTCTTTAAGTGGTTCTGAAGCGGCGGAAAGCAGAGGGCATTCTCTTATCTCCTCATTCCTGAATCACAGAAATTCTTCCAGGATTTTTTTAATGTTTAGCAACTCTGGTGGCAGTCAAGGTTAGTCAGTCCTTCCTGGGGAAAATGGGAATTGCCTGGCGAACTTCTAAGGGAAGGGAAATGAACCCGCTAAGCTTAAAGGCAATGGAGCTTAGTACTGGAAGCCGAGGAAGAGGAGAGAGTTGAGTGTGAGAGTAGGAGACAAGAGAGGGAGAAGAGTCCACTTTCTCGCTGGTATGTCTGTGTATACTCTCACACCTTTCATTCCTCTTCTTATCCATTTTGGCTCCTCAAGCACAAGGGAGAAACTGCACTCTTTCTCATATTCCTCACGATCAAATATTCTAATGGTAATGATCTTCCTGTGGGGACACAAGACAAAGGCAAAACAAATGGTTGGAGTCACACACTCATGCTCTAGATGTCCACCAAGCCGAATGTTATTATGATGTTACGGAGAGAGGACTGGCAGCACATGACCTTCGGGCATATGTAAAAGGGCATCTTGGGTGCTCTTCACTGGCCTCCCCTGAGGTTTCTGTGTGAACGAATGGCTTGCATAAATCCATCTGTTTCTTCCATAACTAAGAAAGCTGGCTTAGATTTTGGACATGGCAGAGTATCGGTGCCGATTTCCCCAGCTTTGGAGGCCTGATTGATTTGGCTCAAAATGAACTTTCAGAGTTGCATGGTGCACAGTGGCCATAACTGGCTCACGGAGCTACAGTTCTGGCCAGCTGCTGCCAGGATGAGCCCTATGCCCTGTTACATGTGTGCGGAGGTATGCGTGCATTGTCAGCCATGTTCTGAAGAACGCAGGCGTCCAGGGAGGCACAGGCAGCAGAAGCTGTTGGACTCAGCCCTGGAGCTGCTCCCCCACCTTTCTTCTCACTCATCTCCACCAGGCGGGGCTCTCCAATCTCAAGGAAGAAGGTCTTGTTTTTCTCATACTCCTCATCATCAATTACCTTGACTGCAATTGTTTTGCTGAAACAGAGAAGAACAGAAATTGACGAACAGGGGAAGAGGCATGCAAAGGAACACAGGCAGGAGGAAAGCAAGGTTAGAGAAGTCACCGAGAACATAGTTCCTTGCCCAGGGCCACAGAATTAACTTGGGCAAAGGGCAGTTGTCAACATTAGTAAGCTTGTCATTGGCATGAGAAAGAAAAGCAGAAAAACAGATTCTAGTAAGAAAAGAAAAAATGCTTATTAAAGTATTGCAATCTTGGGGTGTCTTAGCTGCGTCCTGAAAGCCAATGCTTTAGAACAAAGTAATACATTACAAAAAAGCCAGTGAGAAGTTTCCATGGCTAAGGCACCCAGTCTGTTGACTTGAGTTCTATCCATGGAAACCACCTGCTAGAAGGAGAGAACTGACTTCAGCAAGTTTTCCCCACCTGCACCCATTTGCCATAGCAGGTACACCCCTATACGTACATATCCACACTCCTCCAACATACACACAAATAAATAAAGGGAATAAAAATATGATAAAATATTAACAGAAATGTCATCCTAAGTGGTGGGGTAATTTTCCCTTTCTCTGTTTTACTTTATTTCCAAGCATTATATTTTTAAAATTTTTGTTGCCTTTATAACATAATTACATTATTTTCTCTCTTCCTTTTTCTCCCTCCAGACTCTCCCATATACTTCTCTTTTCTTTAAAAAATAGTCATGGTCTCCTTTTCCATGCATAACATGTGATTATATACATATAATGTATTATTATACATGTAATAATGCAATAAAATGCATACATACATTCTACATGTATGTATGATGTATGTATGTATTTTATTATATGTAATGTATATTCTTAAATATAGAAAGACAACCTGCTCAATCTGCATAATGTTACTTGCACATATAACTTTTCAGGGATGTTTATTTGCTATTAGACAACCAATCAGTGTACTCCCATATGTAATATTTTATCATTACATTTTATTTTGATTAACACAATATATGTGTAAAAGCATTACAGAAGAGAATAAAATCTCTTCTGTCTTTCTCCCTGGTGTCTTAGACTCTAACTTGTTTAAGTTCCTTGGAAGTTGTTCATGTTTTGTTTACATTCCTAAAGATGGAAACTATTTCACACAACTGTGTCGAAAGTGTGGTGGCAGGGAGGGGACAACTGCTCATGTAATTATTTTCATTCCATGCCAAGCTGAATTTCAACTTTCATTAAACTATGGCATTTATATTGTTTTCCACTTCACAAATACATTGTGGTGTTTCACGGAGGATTATTGCTGCAATTCAGCCTTCAGGATTTTTTGACCTACAATCCTATGGCTCTGGATGATTGACGAGTAGACAGGACAAATGCAAATATTATGCAAATCTAAACTCCTGTAATGATGCCATACATAACTCTTGATAAATCTGAAAATAGATCATTCTAATATTACCTTTTAACTAACAAAGTTTAAGTGTGGTATATATTACAATTTACCCAGAGCCTCCTAAATACTGATTTAACAAGATTTTGAAAATAACATTTACTGAGATAATATCTGATTAAAGTTTTTGAAACTAGGTTTACATAAACAGAAAGTTTTAGTCATATGGAGATTCTTTAATTTTGGTAACATTTTCTGAGTCTTTTAGAAAGAGATGGCTCCATAATCTTGCTTTTAGTTCATTGATGAAATCTGCCAGGTTTCACTTAGGTACAGGTTTGCTAATGATCTTTCATCCTTTTATCCTAGCAAGAAGAAAAGAATAAAGAAACTCTCCAAATTTCCCAGCTCCTTGTTCCAAATGTCTAACTCTTCCTTTGTAGGTTCAGCATTGTGAAACGGAGACCGGACCTTGGATCCTCATATTGTCCTTCCCTTTCCTAGCTACAGAACATGCATGGCACTGACATCCCAATTTCTCCCCCCGAGAGGCCAGGGCTCCTTTGTATTCCAAAGACCACGGTGGGTGAGCAGCTAGAAAGGACTCTTGTTAACAATAATTTCTTTCAGTGTAGATATTTATAAAACTATCGAGAGTATGACAAAGTCCAATGGCATACACACATATACACACAGCTCCTGCCTAATTGTTAGAGCATGGTTCTAGATTCCACCTATTTAATATATATTATACATTACTTTTGTGTATGTGTGTGTATATACAATCCCGACACTAGAGAAATTCCCAGGAACCCACAGGATGACCCCTGCTAGTCTTAAGCAATAGACTAGCTAATAGACTCCACTCCTAAGCAATAGTGGAGAGGGTGCCCGAACTGACTGTCTTGTACTCAGATAAATGACTATCTTTAATGTCATCATAGAACCTTCATCCAGCAACTGATGGAAGCATAAGCAGAGACCCATAGCAGAGTACTGGGCTGAGCTCCCAAAGTCCAGTTGAAGAGTGGGAGGAGTGAGAAAAAGAGCAAAGAAGTCAAGACCATGATGGGAATACCTGCTGAAACAGCTTACCTGAGCTAATGGGAGTCCACCAACTCTGGTCTGACAGTAAGGGAACCAGCATAGAACCAAACTAGACCCTCTGAATGTGGGGCAGACTATGGGGGTCTCTGGCAGTGAGACCAGGATTTATTCCTACTGCTTGTACTGACCTTTTGGAACCCATACTCTTTGGAGGGATACCTTGTTCAGTCTATATATAGTGGGGAGGGCTTTGGTCCTGCCTCAAAGCAATGTGCTAGACTTTGTTGACTCCCCATAGGAAATTTTACTCTTTCCGAGAAGTGAATGGGGATGGGATGGGAGAAGGTAGAGAAAATAGAAACTGGAATTCATATGTAAAATGAGAAAAGAGAATCTTAAAAAAACCAATGAATTAATAAATGAAACAACAACAAAACAACAGCAAAAAATGCCAGTTGACCTGACTAGTTTGGAATATTTAGTTGTTAATTTACATCTGGAAAATCCAAAATATTATAAGAAGCCCAAGAGGGCTTATATGCAGCAATTCTGGAAATGTAGGTTCTTTCTGAAAATTAGACAGTATCTGTTATTTTAGGTTAGATTAAATTTACCCTTCAAAACTTGACCAAAGTTCTCTCTTTCTCTTTTCTTTTTCTTAACAAAACTTATGTTCTTTAGGTATTAATTTCTAGTTTTCATTTTGCAATCTTAAACTGGGATTGAACATCTGTCCCGAAACAAGCAATGTCTTAAGAACAGGCGAAGAAATGTGGAGGAAACCAAAAGTGCCATGGTAGCTATTGTCCTTCAGACCAATGCTCAGCATTCATTGTAATGGCCCTTCACGGTAGGAAGCATCACACTGGGAAGCCCCCATGATAACAAGTCAGGTTGCAATGCTTTTACTTCTTATTTTATGACACATACAGTATTCCCAGCCCCACAGTGTGTCACAGATATAGTTGTACTAAAGAAATAAAGAAAGTCTAGTTCATATACATGCAGTAGCCTTTCTAGGGAGACAGTGTATAGGAGAGACACTGGTTTTATGCCCAAGTGACAATATAACAATTTATGCAGTATCCCCAAATCACCCACTGACATCTTATTTGTTATCACTGTAGAAGGTCATTATTCTTCCACCATCATGTGCTAGTTAGCCTTAAGTGCCAACTGGATACAGTCTATCCTAGTTGTCAACTTGATAAAACTTAGAACCAGCTGGGACCTAACTTTCAACGGAGGAATCACCCAAGTCAGGTTGAACTGTGGGAATATCTGTGGGGGACTGTCTTGATTGTTAATTGAGGTGGAAAGACCCATCTTCAATTTGGCAGTACATGTCATGGGCTGGTCACTCAACTGTGTCACAGAAGTGAAAGCTGTAAACAATAAGCAGGTAGTGGGGGTGCATTTGTTTCCCTCGGGTTTTGATTGTGGATGTGATATGACTAACTGCTTAAATCCCTGTCGCAACTTCCCTGCAATAATGGATTGCAGCCTGGAATGCTAGATAAGAACAGACCCTTCGTCCCCTATGTTGCTTATAGTCAGGGTACTTAATCATAGTAGCAGAAATGAAACTAGAACACATTGCAATAACTTTATTTTCTATACCCCAAGACGATCACTACAATAGCCCATAAAACTGCTTGCAATTTATCATTGAAGCATCTTTATTCATCAGGATCAGAATTCTCTAAAAATATTTCAGCATTTGGCAATTGTGATATGAAAAAATAAAAAAATATATCTATATAAAAGAAAAATATCCATATACGCCTTTCTAAAGACACCTAGAATAGATATCATTTGCATAACAGCATATCATTTCAACATCATTAGAGACAAAATCAATAATGCCCTTGGCAAGAGAAGCCGTTAAATTATATATTGATTTAGCTTCTCTAGTACAGTAAAGCTATTAATAGGAAATGTGATTATTAAAGGCCATTTCAGTCAATCTAAAGTAGCAAGATGAAGTCAGCCCTGAGTTAACTCTCTAAATCAAGACAGAATAGTCAGGAACCATGGCTTGTTATGTTCACCTTTTACTTCAGAACAGAAGGTAGCAATGGTGAAACTAACCAATATAATTTTCACAAGAAAGTCACGAGAAAGACCCTGCTCAACTGCTTTTTCTCACTTAATATAGTCCAACCCTTGAAGACCAAGCTCCCAGCTCATCTACCACAGAGCATACTGCACAAGCTGGGACTGGTTTGAGGATGATTGCAGCTAGACTGTCTGGATAATCACTGAAAGTATGCTCTTGCTTCCCAGGATTTGGCAATAGAAATAGAGTCTCAAGGATCAAGGAGTCATGAGTCCCATTGACACACCCAAACCTTATTATAGGATGCTACTGGCCTTTCTGTTTTGTTCACCCGTAGAAGGCTGTCAGAGCAATGCTATTTCCTTCAGTTGACAGAATGACAAAATCAAGCCTGAAAGAGTTGGGTAAACATAGTCCTTTAAGCAAGCAGAACTCGCACATTATTGCTCTGATGAGGAACGAATAGAAAAACAAGTGCCTTGCTATTTTCAACAATCATGACTGTTCTAAAGACAGAGAGGAGAACTCACT